CGACCTACGTAGCAAATAGCTCATGCAGTTTATGACTTCGTGCTTACGACCTAAGGACATCATCACAGCTAACCACTACGTTCTACATCACCACCACAACCTACGTGACACACAATTCATGCAACTCTCAACTTCGATCTCCATGACCTACAAACATCATTACAAATCACTACTACATCTTATGTGATCGGCTACCACCTACGTGGTCCACATTTTGTGCAGCTCCCGACACCTACCTTCGCGATATATGGGCATCATCACAGCTCACAACTACGACGTTCGTGACCAACCACGATCTAAGTGGCACCCACCGCAGCTCAACACTATTGCCTACATGGTGCATAACTCGTGCAACTCCTGATTCCAGTCACTGTGGTTTGCGAACGCCATCACAACTCATCATTACGATCTACATAGCTTATAACTCATGCAACTCCCGACTCCGAGCCCCACGCCTTACGGACGTCATCATAGCTCGTCGCTCTGATCTATGTGACCTACTATAATTTACGTGGTCTGCAGCTTATGCAACTCTCGACTCTGATCCCCGCAACTTACGAGCATCATCATAACTCACCACTGCGGCCTACGTAACCAACTACGACCTACATGGTTCACCGATCGTGTAATTCTCGACTTAAACCCCCACAACCTACAAGGTTCGCACATCTTATTCTCTCACACGTATAATATTATGATGTCAATGCTTACAAACAACGACATGAACTAAGCAAGGGTGACCTTTTAAAAATTCAATCTATAGATGATTACATTGCACAATGGAAGTTAAAGACCAATTTTAATAGATCGGAGAAGAAATACCTTGCCATCATATAATATTTATTTAACTCACCTTTCTTTGCAACTCAAACCCATAAATTTAGATATTTAAGACATCTGCCCTGATACACCATATTGGTGAGTGCCAAGATAACATTAGATCTCTTGTTCTACCTTGCTTTCACAAAAGTTTTTGAGAAAATTGCCAACGAAACCACCACTTGAACTAATGTGTGAGAGTCAATGATTGAAGAGAGAAAACAAAAAGGCAAAATAACTATTTATAGATAAATAATGAAATTTTTTTATACAAATGTTACAACTCTCATAAAATATTATCAACCATTTTTTTTAAAATTAAATCTATTTTTCATCACTACGACTGGAACCTGATTCGCATCTTTAAGTTAATGAAGTCAACAAGTTCAAATAGGAAAACAAAACGATTAATCAAAACAATGTTTCGAACAATACATGCATAAATCAATTACCCCTTGTAGTAAATATAATTACATTATATCATATAAGTGATGTGTGCTACAAAGTTCACAACGGTAGATTAGTGGATTATTGTTTAGCATTGCATGAGAATTCAACACACACACTGAGATAAATGAAAGCAATCGGTATTGACACCAAAAATTTTTAAGTGAAAAACCTGTAAAGGGAAAAAACCACAGACTTGGCCTAGGTGTAAAAATTTACTATGAGTTGATGATTACAGAGACCTCTTGTCTCACATGCGAGAAAGTGCGAATGAATCTATTATAAGAAGTGGGGGGCAGCTGATGGCGATCGATGAAGGCCGACAGGTGGTGGTCGATGACGGTTGGCGGCAATCGACGGTGGCATGAGTGGTGTTGGACTTCAGCACATTCTCAAAGCTTCAAGTTCTTCTTAAGCCTCATGCTCTCCCCCTTCTAATGAGAGGAGTGAGGCTCTATTTATATTGTTCTGGATGCAATTAATGCAGAAATATGAACCACTTTGATCGGACGGTCTAGAGAGCTTCCTTAGATCAAATTGTGTTTGATGGACATTTGAGTGTCTTAACGATATTGGAATTGAGCAACTCGCTAGATTTGTTTTGTCGAGACACTCGATTCGACTACAGGCTTACTAGATTAGACATTCGTTTGAACTTCTATATATGTCTGGAAAATTTTTATGAGTGGTTTAATGACGATATGAGCTTGATTTGGCTTGAATTAGACTAATTTTGATATCATTGGGTCTGTCTCATCAAGCTGGTTAGTTTGACTATAAGTTTGTTGAAATCAGAGCTCTGGATGACTCTTAATCGAAGTTTTAATATCTCTTGCTCAAAAGATTGTCTTGAGATTCGTGTCAAATGATAAAATTTTGTTGCTGGCGTATAAGTAAGGGTTCATTAAAACACAATTTTACAAAGAAGATCTTACATTAACTCATTACAAGAAAAACATTCAAGAAGAAGATTTAAAAAATTTGCTCCACTCTTCATAAGTTGTGGTAGAATAAAATCAAATTTAAAGGACTTGCGTATTAGAATTTGAAGGAAAAATGTGCAAATCATAATTTATTTTACACATGTATTCAATAGTTTTCTTGGACACGATTTGTTACACTTGCATCATTTCCATAATTATTTTTAGATTTTTAATTGTGATGAAAATATGCAGAGTAAATTTTAAAGGACTAATTGTATAAGCCCACTCTTCTCTTAACCCATCATTCTTCTGAAGCATCAATAGTCCGTTTGATTTGATCCTAACCCAAGCCCGTGGATCCTCGTTTTAATTCCTTCCACAATTTCCAATTATTTTTCCTCTGATCCCACTTGTTTTTCAATTGCATTCTATCGCATTCCCTTCTTGTCGTTTCCTTAACATTTTCATAATATTTGTCATCATTCATTATTAAAATAGATGGCGGGCCTATTTCTCAGTTCGGCCACCTTAAGACAAAGGCCGCAAAATATGAGTTTGAATTTCTTATCTCACATAACCGATGAGCCAACTTCTTTTGTCTTAACCATTACGTTACTAGCATAGAAAAAACTAAACATAAGTATTTGGCGGAAGAAGTAACTAGCAGAAATCATAACCACACACCAACACAACAACACACCAACACATTCACACCTTCACACAGTATACAACCATACACAACCACACACAAACATTTACACACCTCCACACACCACCACCAACACTGCTACAAACACAACTACTGACCAACACTTCTACACAACACACCACTACCAACATCTCCACAAACATAACCACACACCTCCACACTCCACCACCAACGATTCTACACAAGCACCTTCACACCAACACAACCACGCACCAACATCTCTACACAACACACAACCACATACAACCACACACCAACACTTCGACATCTCCACAAACCACCACCAACACTTCTACAAACACAACCACACACCAACACTTCCACACCTCCATGCACCACCACCTCCACCTCCATAAATATAACCACACACCACCACCAGCACCTTCACAAACACAACCACACACCACCACCAACACCTCCACACCAACACACAAACACGACACACAACCACACACCAACACTTACACACCTCCACACACCACCACCAACACTTCCACAAACACAACACCTCTCCACACCACGCCAACACATCCACACACCACCAACTCCACACCACATAACCACCCAACAGGCCACCAAAATGTTTATAAAGAAATAATGTGTCCCATAACTCTCTTAATACCAAACAATTTTTAAATCCTCTTAAAACGAATGCCATAAAGCATCAGATAAGATCATATACTAGGTCTTATTTCTTAGCAAATCCTCAAAAGAAAAAAAAAATGGTTGTCATTTGAATGAATTTCAAGCTGAATTCATGAGATTTATGAAATGTTTACAAGTAATTGCAACCCAACACTTAAGTGATAAATATCAAAACAGGATAATCACCTGATGAAAAGTTGGCTATAAGAGAGAAAAGCATGCCAGGAGGAACGGTTATCACGCTTGAAACAAAAGCCTGTTCATACTCATATATTCCTGAACTATGGTCAATCTTAACTATATTTCTCATATTTAATATAGGATATAAAAAATTTTCAAAAGCTCTTTGATACAAAGTTTTCATGCATTATATTGTCATACTTCAGGGGATCTTAGACTAGCAAAATACAATAAATTATATCCTTCTCTTCCTGTATTGTGCTAGAAAAACCTACAAAGAGATCAGTTGTCAATCAACCACACACCATCACCTTCACACACAACCACCAATGCTTTCATAAACACACAACCTCCACAACATAAGCACCAAAAGAGATCGAACAAACCACATATGGAGATAAACCGAAAACTCTACAACTAACAAGACAAAGCACAAAAAATCCCAATATCACGATAAACACCAATCCGAGCAACATTGCATCGAAGGCGTAAACTAAAACCCGTTTGGATGCATCAAAACCACATAACCGAGCATATTAAATCAAAAGCCATAAAAAATGAGTAAATAAAAAACCTCCAAAACTGAGTTAAAGGATGAAACCAACCAGCATAATGCACACAGACACACAAATAGAAGAGAAAAGAGGTGAAGAACAGAGAAGACGGGAAGAAGAGGGAACACCGCACAACCATCAAACTGAGCCAAAAAAGAAAATTGAGAGGGAATGAAAGAGTACATACATTAACCAAATAACCACCAATCGAAATAATCACCTACAGAAATGATCTATCAAACTGAAGGACTACCTCCACCTTACAGAGCACAGAGTGCTCAAACTACCAAAATTGGACCGGAAAGAAAAAGCGAGAGAGGGAGAAGAATGTAAGGATCACCAGAACAACCACAAACTGAAAATAACCAACCTAGCTGCCAAAGCCACAGATCCATGCGAGATGGATACCTATGGCAGAAGAAGAATCACAGGAAGAAGGAGTGATTTCGAGAGAGGCGGAGGTAACGCGAGAAGAGAGGCTGCGGGGTAAATATGTTCACGGCGAGAAAGGAGAAATGCAGGTCACAGGGTCGAACTCACAATCACGTTTTAAGCGAATTTTTTAAAAGCACCTCTGCGATGCAAAAAACAAACAGTCTGTTTGGACTTTTCAGGCCGCACCGCGCAAAAAATGCGGCTTCAAACATGCACCAACTTAGAAAATTATTTTGCTGAGGGCTGATTTGAAAATTATACATTATATGGGACTGATAAGAGAAAACTGAGCCCTATCCTCCAAACTTTTCATGCTCGCGGCGGATCCATCAAGCACTGTGAAGTGGATCCCGATGGCAATGGACTCCGCACTGGGGATAGGGTTCTACGCGAGCCGTTCGTCTCCATTCCCTAGAATCTTCTTCTTCACCATCGAATCCCGAGCCATCATTTATTTCATAGCTTCTTTTCTATTTCACAGGTTGCCGCTTTTCGCTCTCTAATGGCGCAGCTTCCAGCTTGCGCGGCTGCAGCAAGTTTCCCGGTGGTCTCTGGTATATCCTTGTCGTTCTTGCTTTATATTTGTGCTTCTTTCCCGCTTAGCGAAACGCCTGTCTTTTAGGGACGGGCGCGTGGACATGGGTTGCTGTTCTACCATGCCTGCGAGTAAATCCCGTGGTAGAAGAATTTTGGCTTGTGCTCCACCGGGGCATTCGGAATCACTACCCGATCCTCCAAAGAGCAGCTGGATACAAAACTACCACCCTGCTGAGGAGATCAGAGAGCCATTGCCCATTGAAGATGGCCGGTATGCACGTCTCACTGATGCTGAGACAGCGAGAACACTGATCGAGGTATCCAACCTTCCTTCTTCTTCGCTGTTAAATTAAAACTATGTTACCGAGTGCCAGCTTTTCCGGAGCATATAGATGCTGCAATGTTATTGGGTAGTGTCAAAGGTGAATTTAAAATGAAAATTTTTGTGAGAGATGTGATAAATTAAACGCGAGAACTTGATTGATGAGCTGCAACTGGTTTATAGTAGTTCTAATTTTCGAATCAGTGATGGTACTTTTTTTTGTATTTTATCAGTAATTCTGCTTGCAAAAGGTGTAGGTTATTTATCATTTTGTGTGACCAATTACACTTCTGTTGTTTATATGGTGCATTTACATATCTAACTCCAAAACTTTATTTTTTTCATTAAAATATTTCATGTCACATAAAAAAGCTCACTTTTTAACTTTTAAAATGTTGAATACACCTTTTCATGCATATGTCAGGTGGCATATATATGTAAAAATTATAGTTTGGATGTTAGATATTTAAATACATAGGAATTAAGTGGTATGTTTGTAAATCTTCTTATACTGTTTCCTACTTACCAGCATGAAATTCTCTCCTGCTTAGGTGAATATCAAAGGGGCACTTTTGCTTACAGAAGACATTGGTGAAGTCCAACAGAATGTAATATTGCCTGACATCTCCTACTTAACTGATGAGCATGGAGGTAAATTTAGAGAATGGGACACTTGATGAATAATAAGTGCTCTACATATTTTATTTGGTAAAATTATCTCATGTTCTTTATGTGAGGTTAATACTTGGATATCTGGTCAGATATATACTTTCAAGCCACTGATGATGATGATATTTTGAAAAACTTCGTTTCAGATGATGCGGATGATGCTTTGGCGGTATTGCATTCAATTTTCTAGACTTTCTAAATTTTTTCCATGCATGGATTAATATGTTATGTTCATTGCAGCAAGTTATAATTGGTCTGGATAATGTGGATATACTAAAAGAGATAGAAGCGCCTGGATCTTCTGTGTTCAATTTGGGTCTCGGGGAAGTAGTTAGTGAGGATTTTGATCTTGATTATGATTCTGAAGAGGTATAAACCATGTTTTTTTTTCCAGGAAATTTACGTACATGCCATGCAATTCTTATATATTTACATATGTAACACCCAAAATTATTTACACTCATAACACCCTGGTATCATAAGTCATGCATGAACTGGTGTATTTTACTTAAAAAAAGGTAGTGGTAGTTGTATTTTTGATGCGATGATAAATATTTGAGTGGTATACATGTATATATGAATGTTTTAGTGTTAATTATGTAAATACATTAGAATAGTATCGTATGTATGTACATGCCCCTTTTTTCTTTTGACTTGGTGAAATAATGAACATAGCTGCTGTTTTGATTATGCTTTTCTTTTTTCTCTTTCCTGTACCATAGGATGATTTAGTCATTTTTGAAGAAGAAGAAGAAGAAGAAGTTGATGATGATGATGACGACGACGATGTTGACATAACCTCCGAAATGTCAAATGATTGGTCACATGCGGAGACGATGCAAGCAACTCACCCAGTTTATTTTGCTCAAAAGATTGCTGAGGTACCTTATTCTATAAAATATATAGTTTTATAATCTGTTGGTAACTTTGATTTATCATTGGATAATTGATGCCCGCCAAAATTTCTAAAAAAATCATGCTTTTTCCTACTGCTTTGCTTGACATTACTCATCTTTTTCTAGGCTGTCTCAACTAGTAGTTTAGATTGGATGGATCAGCCTTCTGCTAGTGTCATAATCCAAGGTTTATTGAGACCAGCTTTTGTTAAAGAGCATAAATTAACTATAAGACGTCCGCTGATCAGTGACTCGGGAAGTAGCGGAGGACAAAATCTTCAAAAACATGTCAAAGTCAATGCAGAAGGTTCATCTCTGTTTTTTTTTTTTGGTGGATGCTGGGGCATGCTTATTTGGTTGATAATTCATCTCATAAAATTGTATTTTTGCAGGAGAGATGACTAACGGTGAGAACCAACACAGCGAAACGACATTCTTCAAGCTTGAAATAATAAACATTCAGCTTGTTTCGGCATGCGGTAATCAGGTAAGCTTGCTTGAATTGGATATTCTTCTTTTTTTCTTAGGGCGCTAAATGTAAATTAATAGACTGGGAAATGGGCATATGCTTATAGCTTTATCTTTCAAAAATATTTTAACTTGAACTTGAAAAGGTTACACTCCAAGGAATATATGATTTTGTTGTGTATATATATATTTATTATCGTCTGTAGGTATAGGAATGGAGAACTCGAGTGGATTTACATTTTTTTCATCTCATTTTTTCTTGTTTCTATAAAAAGATTGGGTACTCAGGGTCCCAAAATGCAAAATAAGATTGTTGATATTCTTCACCATTGAAGCATTAAAGGCGCCAAAACCCACAATTTCTGCAATTGTCTCATTGTTGTTCTCATCTGTATATCCGAATACTTCTCCAATCCCACAGTTCTCAGTTTACAGGGATTTATTTTCTTGCACTTGATTTAAATGGAAATTAATTCAATATAAAATTGGACGGATGGAGGCATTGGGCTATGGGTGACGGCGGCGGCAACGATGATGGCTAGCAACTTATGTCAGCACAAGATGTGGGGGGCAGAGCCTTGTGGATAGCGGCCAGCAACGGGGTTTGGCGACAATAGCGATAGTTTGCAGTGTGTTCGGAACTCGACATAATTTGTGCAAGTTTGAAATTTAAATGAACTAGAAGCTGTGTTTAAAATCCTTTGAAAATTACTCTGTATTCAATGACCGTATTCCAATTTTCAAGCAAACAACATTCTTTATGTTAATTGTTAATTTACTGGTATACTAATTATTTTTTATGTTTTCATGCCTATGTTAATTGTTTTTAGTCCATAAAATTAGAACCTGTTTTTCAATTGTTAGTTTAGGTTATTATTTTTATTCTTGTATCTGCTCAGAAGAGTTATTATTTTATTTTTTCAATAAATTATTTTTATGTATGCACACATTTATATATGTATGTATGTATGTATGGACACACACAAGCACACATACATACATATATATAATTTTACCCCTGAACTATTAAAAAAGATAAAAATTTGTTGATAAAATAAACAAAGGTAATGCTTTTTTAAAAAAAAATAAATAAACTTCAAAATTATTGAACAATTAATTTTTAATTTAATTTTGAATCTATTGATATAAATTATCATATTTAGTTGAATACAATGTTTTTATAATAGTACGATTAATTAAAGACTATTGACAAAAAAATTAACATATGTATGGAATATAAAAATTTAGTATACTAATAAAATAAATTTTGTAAACTAACCTTATTTAAGTGCTAACTATGGATGCCTACAAAAATGTATATTAGTTGAAGAAGAGAATTGGAGTGAGGTGAATGCAAGGGAGAAGCCTGATATTTATAGCAAAAGAAATAGCATTAGATGCTCTTGAATAATATTCCCTATGTGTTCTAATGGGCATACAAAGTATTTGATTACCTGTAATGACCAACAACTAAAAATGACCCTATATGTGGGCTTAGTGATGAAAATGCTAGTGTTGTGTTTTCATTATACTGTTAAAACCATTTAAAATCAAGTCATTTTTGCTTTTTAAATGTTTTTTAACTGTGCTTCTATTGCTAAATAAAAAATATACACATTTGTTAAAATTTGATTTATGCTGCAACCTGGTTTATAATGCCCGTTGATTTTTTCCTAGTTCTCTTCCATCAAGATTTCCTTTCACTTACAATTCGGAAGTCGTCAACCAAGAATATAAGTCCCAACCAAGAATATAAGTCCCATTTGAATTTATTCTCTCCTTTTTTTTTTCTATTTTTGATATTGAATTCTATTGCAGTTCAAGTCTAACCCATCTATGTTTGAATGCTACTTCACTGATTTGCGTGACCTCATTTATATATTATATAAGCTAATTAAATAATGAGTTATTTCCATGATCTTCTTATGTACCATCATCATACCCAATCCAATAATAAATTCACCACCTGAATCTTTATTTGTGAGTAAGGCTTCTACATGCAATGAAAATAACAGCTTATCATGCTCTTACTTCCAACGATGTATATAACATCGTGTGATCTCGTAAGCTAGCTTCTCTGAGTTTTGGGTAATCTCTAATGAATATCAAATGTAATAGATGCCTCTTACTATTGCTTTAACTCCACATTGCCTACGCATTTGTACCTAATTTTATTTCATAAATTCATATCCACAACGGCAATTTCTATCTCAACTAGTTTTTTAAATTATTTTTTAAATGGCCACATGAGTTTTTATTTGTCGGTTATTAACATTGCCCTACCTTTGGGAAAAAAAAAATAATATTTCCATCTTCATCTCTCCAAGCAAAACCCTTCACAAGAATTCTTCTACAACATGGATGTTGAGACTTGATATCGAGATGTACCAATATTTAAAGGAGGTTCAAATGATCTTTCTTTTAGATTTCAAGAAGTACCATCTACTACGAAAATAATCAAATTAGGCCATTAAGACATATATAGCCAAATAAATTTACTGGTGTTGAACACAATTCAGCCATAAGACATATATAACCAAATAAAAGTGAACATTTAGGTGTTGCTACCAATCAAACTATTCAATTTGATTCAGGAAGTCAAGGAAATGATGAAATGATGACATTTGTTTCACATAAAGCTGTCAAAAGCTGTACAACATTTTAAAAAGCAATTAAAAGCTTCAACTATCTTGTTAAGCATCTATTAAAAGCTATCTAAAGCTATACAACACTTCAAAATAATATTTACAATGCTTTTTTTTAGAGTTGCTCTAAAAATCTTATATAGTTTCTTTAAAGATTCTATAAGGTGGTTTTATAAAATTATGCAAATTAATATTTGACTTTCAAATACGGTTAACAACTCTATAGCTTTTATAAATTAGATTTTATCATATAATCATATTTTACTAATTATGTTATATTATCATAAAAATTATCTCGAAATATTAAAAAATTAGCCTGAAAATGCCCATTGCCTTGGCATTTTCATGAATAGAGGAAGAAAACACCTGCATAATATGTGTTTTTGCCTCTTTTTTTTTTTTAACCATGCCCATATTGATAAATTAAAAATTGCGCACGCTCTTTAAAATTTTGCCTTTATCGGTGAAGGTCTATTAGTTTTTCAAGTTATGAAAAATATGTTTTTGGATATCCATTGACTGAGATGTGATACAAGCTATTGTGGAGTTGGATACCACCCTTAGCATATAGTTTGCTCTTTTCTGAAAATAGATTTTAGTTGTTTATATTTGTTGATTATCCATACTTATGAAATATTATCAATTGTTATTGTAAAATTGAATTGTTCACTGTTTAAAGTACAACTGAAATGATTTTCCTTGTGCAAATTACTTTAAAAGCTTCATAACAAATACATGAAAATCAGGCTATTTTTAATGCTCTAAAATTCAAGTGATGCATCACATTGTCTGCTTTTATTTCTATCAGGTATATGTGCTCCTAATTTTGTTAGCACGTGTTAATACAAACTATTTTTTGCAGTAATCATTCTTTTTTTTAATCATCTCAGTCCACAGTAAAAGTTGAAGATTTTCATCTAGCTCGTCCAGATGTTATTGCTCATTCTGCGGCGAATATACTTTCTCGTGTAAAAGCTGGCGGAGATAAGACAACACAAGCTCTCAAGGCACTTTGTTTGAGACACAAGGGTATACAAGTTCAGGTGATGGTGGTACTTGTAGCTTTTGATATATACTGTAGGCTTACTAATGCATGGGGCCATAATGAAAATCTGTTTCAACATCAGGCTTAATATACTTTTTTCTAATTTGCATTATTTATATGCAGAAGGCTTCAACATTATACCTATATACCCATTTTAGTCTTTATTTAATGATCATGATTGGATGGATATCTAAGCTGTGATATCCAAATCTGAAGAGGGTGGGTAGTCATTGCTGTGGCTGACGGCCATATTAAGAGCTAATTTTGGTGGGCTTCTGGAAGAAAATAGAAGGATTAGACTAAGGGGATTTTAAAAAAGCTTTTACACTTTTATTTTTAGATGGTCGTCTTATTATTTTTTGGCTATTTCTTGGTACTTTTTTTTGAAATTTGTTCGGTGTTAAATTTTTTTTTTGTTGCAACTAAAGGTTTTGTCCAACTTTTTCAAAAAAGAAAAAACTTATAATAAATATTTTGAAAAAAATATTTTAAGCAGCTTTACCACAACTATCAATAATACTCGTATCTGTCGTAAATGTTCTTAAAATATGTAAGAGCATTTTGGCGTAGCTGTCGTAAATGTTCTTAATTATATCTGTGAGAGCACCTCAAGATTGATGACTTCTTGAAGCTGCATTAAGAACAATAAAATCATCAGGTGAATCTTGAAATGAGCAATTAGGCTAAAGTGAACCATACATCACATGGTGTGGGCTATTACATCGTGATTACCCATTTTGGACATAACTTCTAAAAATAATAAGAAATTATTATTTCATTTGAATTTTTTATCAAAAAATAAGTAATTGAATAATTATTTTGGGTCAAACTAAACTTGACTTTAACCTGGCATTACGACCCAAATCCAAAATTTCTTTGCATGTTTGAATAAAAATCAAATTTTTAGGTTAAGTCCAACATTGAGATCTCCTCTTATACAATAAAAAACATAACAATTAGTGTAGGCCTCTTTAGCCCAAAATACCAAGGAAGTTTATATTCATTGGAAGTTCATGTTGATTGCACGTAAGTCTAGGCATTTGCTAAGGGTAAAAAATTTTCTCTTAACTTCTCATTTTATTAAAAGATTTGAGGTGCTAAAAATTCAGTGGACTAGGTTAGGCTTTTGAGGCTTGCCCTACACTTTAAATACCCTAACATGCAGGAGCTTAAATGGGTTAACTTTAATGGGCTGAGTGCTAATTCATAAACTCATTGATACTGAAACTAGTAGATAAATAATGGAAACACAAAACCAAACTTTCATTAATATAAAAATAGGGTTACAACATAACACAAACGAGAAATAACAACACAAAACTAAAAATGACACGAGCAAACACCACTCAAGTGTATTTCAAGGGTGATGGAGGCTGGCGAGGTGGATCGAGATGGCTATCAGGGACGATGACAGCAAGGGGGAAATTGCAGAATTGTAGAGACGACAAATATGGAGGGTCGTAGGCGACCGACAACAAGCGGAGGGATAATGGTTGAACAATAAGGTAAAGCTGCAGGTATGGGGCAGTTGAGTGCAAGAAATGAAGGAGGGGAGAGGCTGACTACTAAGGAGACGGGAGAAGACAGATTGGGAAAGTTGTAAGGAAAGAATACAACACCACCTCAGAGTAGGACTTTGTTGGAGCACCACCACCTTCTCAGATACTGCCCTAGAACAGGGAAATAGACTCCACACGGGAGATCTGAAAACAAACACAACAATAATTGACTCTTACACACACAGAGGATAGCAATTTATGGACTCCCAGGAAACTTTTACACAAAAGGAAAAGGGGGGAAGGCAAGAAGAATCCGAAAAACACTGCAACAATCTGCGAAGCTTCGTTGGATCGCAATAGTTCGCACTCTTCTGTCTTTGCAAGAATTCATGACCCCCGCCCTTTTGCCATCACGGTGCTTCATAGTGGATTCTTGCCCCACTGGATCGAAAGCGCCTGTGCTCGAGCGTTATTTTGGCACTCGTATTAGGGCGTTGACAGCGCCTCACTTTAGGGGCACAATTAGCATCCGTGTCAGTCTTCCGGAGTTGGGGGTGCTTCGACTTCATAGGTTGAAGCTTTCGTTTTGTCATCATTCACCCCTGGATCCTACTGGCGATTGCATTGTCTCCAAGGTACCTCAGGCTCTTCTCCCATGTACAAGCAAACATCCACCACAATCCCATCTTTTGGGAGTGCGTGCCCCCACATGTACTGCTGAATTTTCCCAAAGTAGCTCACATGTGGTTCAGTCTTGTGTGTCGTGAGAGTGGCCTGAACCCTCCCGCCCTGTGGTAGAGTTGGTGATACAGTATAGATCGTGAAGCCCTGTAATCTTCTCTGTCGTATTTCTCCCGTGTTAGGAGTCAGTATCTCGGTTCACTCATTTTGTGTTGCCACTGAACCTGGTTCCACTGACACTGCTCTGTTGAAAGGGATCCTGTGACCTCGGGCTCCGTTGAAGGAATAAGATGACACGCTTCCCGTCCTTGGTGAAAGAATGTGTGTTTCTGCATCCGTCGTGCTGAATCCTCCGGTCAAACTGCCATGGTTGTCTCAACATAACGCTGATAGCGCCCCGCGTTAGTGCAGTTAGCGCACGCGTCAGCCATTTAAATACTTAATGTAACCCCATAAGCTATTATTTAGCTACTCAGAATTAAGCTTTTATTTTTAGGTATGAATTGGACCCAAAACATCTCTTAAGCATATAAAAACTATTGTCCATTAAATTTTATATTTGAATAATTCAAATTAAATTATATAATTACAGTTAATTTTAAGCTTAAATAAAGTTTAAATTGAGATATTATAAATTTAATAATAATTGAAAATGATCTCCAAGCTAAACAATCTTGGTTCACACTTTACTCAATATTTTTGAGTTGATTTTGATTATACTAAAATAATTGAGCATATTTCTTTAATGATATTTATTAGAGAAGTATATTACATTATTAGCAGGTTTAAATAGGCTTAGTGGGTAACCCACCAAGCTCATAAATGTAGGCCAGCCTAAATTCAAAATGAGTTTTGGAGGTACGAAATAAATAAAACTTTGATGGACTTGGATAACCCATTTCACGCCCTTATGTAAACCTAATGTAGTAATCTATAATAATAAAGTCCATATTGCTTACCACTTAGCTCATAGTTCTAGTTGGTTCAAACATAACTTGATGAAAGAGTACAAGAGGTAGAGATAGAAATCTTGCTTTTGGATATAAAAGAGGTCTTTTGCTTGCTTGCCCTTTTGGCATGCATCAAAACAAAATCTTTTTAACATTTGATCTTTCAACCTTTTGACAATATCAATTGTAATATTTTTTCTAAGAATGCTCATTCTAGGATGACAATGTCTGCAAAAACCGAAGTCATTGACTTTTATTTTTGAGCATTTCAATTCATGATCAATCATGATATTTAGATCAAGAAAATAATTATTTTAATATGCATGTCTTGAAAAAGCATGATTCAATTTTTTTCCTGAACTAGGCGAAGAGATGTATGAAAGATGACTTCATAGACTTCATCACATATATGAATAATACTAGTGAATTTATTTCTTTCATCTATATAAAGAACCTTATTTGTTGAGGAGGCATAATTTGTATCAATTTTCATAGTACATTTTTTTCTGGCCCTAGAATGTTATAAACTCTCCATCTTTTAGTTGTGGGGAAAGCAAATTTTTTTTTTATCACAATTCATGTGTCTCTAGCAACCACTAAGTACATCCTTCCTTTATTCCATTATAGGGCACAGCCACATGAGAAAATTCAGTCTTGACATTTGGTACCGAAGAAGTTTTGGTCCCTTGTTGTAGATGTGTGATATGCCTTTGGGAATCCAAATACGAGTGCTTGAAGATTCAAAAAATATTCTAATGACTCATGTAAATTAAAAGTTGCCATGCTGATGGCAATAATGACATTCAGATTCGGTTAGGCTTGCATTAATGATCTAGCATAAAAAATGTGAGAAGATTTGTGTGTTGTAATGTTTTTTTATGCGCGCCATCAGATAAATGAGATTTTAAATGAACTTTAGTAGATCAAGATGAAACTATAGGATTAAAACTAGCAATTTTACACCCTTTACATTTTAGCTACTTTTCAAGCATGGAACATGCACTGCTTTTTCGATTTTAACTTCCTTCTTATGCTCGAGCTTCTCATTTTCAATTTTCAAATTAAGAATGTATTTATCAGAAGTAGACGATTCATTTCCTTTTTAAAATTGATTTGCTTCTTTTTCATCTTTTAAAACACATCATTGAAGTTTCTAATTGCAATTTTTAAATCCTTTACAAGTTAAAATTGAGATTATTTAACTTGTCTTATGAGAATTCTAATACTTCTTGGGCTATAAAGTGAAAACTCGTTTTTTCATAATTTTAGGTTTCTGGATGTTGAAGGATTTTTATAAGAATTTGTCCATTTCTCTTTTGTGGCGTTACCTTTTTGTTGTGGATTATCCCATTGAATATGGTCAGCTTTCTGATTATAACAATTTCTCATTTAATCTTGGATACAATCCATTCTTAGGGGTGTCAAATGAGCTATTTAAGTGCATTTAAGCTTTCTTTTATTTAAGATCCTTAAAGTTGTTATGTATCTAGACCAGCACAGGTTTATGATGAGCTTTGTTTAGCCTATTTCAGCCCATTTAAAATATAATGCATCACTCTTATACATTTTAATTTAGAAACTCATACTTTTTTTTTTCGTTGAATCCAATCAAATTAGATCAATTTGTGTCAAAGTGATAGTGTCTAGCTCAAAATTCATTTGAATTGCTTTTGAATTTTTGATGTCTTATTAAGGTTTAGGTGGCATAAATGTAAGTTGTTTAGGTGTTGGATATGTAAATATATAAGAATTGAGTGGTATGTATGTAAAAACCCCTTTAATTTTTTACCACTCGGCAAGGGCCAACAGAAGCTAGGGAACTTTTAATTGATAAATAGAGTCAATGGTTAATCAATCCAATACTTAATATGCTAATCCATCATGGTTTTTTGAGGGCTGGGATCATTGGCTTATATGTCGGAAGTATGACTATGAATGAGTGAACGATAAAATAAATAAATGAGATAAAAATATGGATACATTAGCACACAGGATTTAGGTGTTTGGTGTAATGACCTACATCCACCATGGAAGATTGCTGGATTCTCTCTTGTTAGTTTTGAGAAAATAATTACAATGGGATGAATATAAGAGTTCTTTTGGTAAACTAGAGAGGCTCCATAAAAGATCGATGCCAACCCTTCATTTGTTATCGTGATTATTCTTTTTATAGTTCCTTCGATCAAACATGGCCAGAATTACACGAGCTTGAATCAAATAATGTTTTCATTGATAGACACTACACTACTAAGAGCGATCTAAGTGAATGATTGATTCTTCTGTATTAATGATCATCTTGTATTCATTGCTTATAAGTTAATACTCATTTGAATGAATATGATTGTCTGTTGACATATCTAAAACGAAAATAAGAAAACTTGAGCAAATCTGATGACATTCAGGCAAAATTGAAGACAAACATGTTCTTCTCGAAAAAAGTTTCATGATGGTACGTTTTGAAATGCCTCGATTAACTCATGAATGGATCATAATCATGAAGAATGAATCCTTATATGATTTATACCATGAATCTCGACTCTAATACTAATTGAATGGTTTATGGACAAAATCGAGGTCGGGATCTGGTGGGTGTGGGAGTGGAATGAGGTTGACGTGGGTTTGTTTGAACAAGCAATCCAAAGATTTTAAATTTTATGAAGTAATTCAACCAAGATAGCTTGATGCAGAAGTATTTTTTAATATAAAAGTAAATAGCATAGAATAAGTAAACGAGTACAAATTAATCTTAGAAGTTTGAACTTGAATCTCTCTAAATTATGATAAGAGGCAAATTAATTGGCTCAAAGGACTATGAATTCTTGTGAAAAGAGTGCAAATTTGTGTTTAGAGCTGAGTGTTAGCATTGCTAAATGATTTTTTGACGATCATAATATGGGATCGAATATCTGGCAAATTTCTATTAGTCATTATACATATTGATCCCTGAGCTACTTATTATAGAATTATACATATTAGAGCATTTTAATAGTATTCATGCTACAAATTTCTAGATCTTCCAGACAATTAAAAATGTCATTTGAACATTCAAAATTCTACCAACTTGAGTTTTATAGATTTTGCTAGAGTATCCCTGGATAATCCACTTATAATCGATATGTATTACTATATTGATTAGATGAACAATGTGAGTTTTCAATTCCTTTTGAAAAATAAATTATAAATTGTTGTAAAATTTTGAAAATTATTTGCTTCTCAAAAACAACATTAGGCTGCCATGGTTCAATTTATGATAATAAAAATTTTATTTTATTTTTTAAAATTTAAATGTTCATTAGAATAGCTATTAAAATCTTCAAATTAAATAACCTTATAATTTGATGAATTCAAGTCCAATGGTGAGGTAACTCGGAGCACTATCACGGTGCAATTTATTTATTTATTTATTTTTTTTGAAATTTGAATGTTTATTATATTAGCTAAAAAACCCTTCAAATTTTATGACTAGTGCATTTGAAGAATTAAAGTCTAATGGTCATGTACTTTGGAACACCATTATAACTTGGAGCATGTGAAGTTTACCGAAGTTAATGCTTAGGCTGAATATTGATGTGTCCTTTTTCAGCTATGAAATAAAATGAATTCTATGAGCTTCACCAAGTCTCGTTTCTTTTTTGGGGCATTTAAATACATACAACCCATTTCCTATGTATTTACATATCTAACATCAAAGCTTGCTTTTTTCATTTCTACAACCCAAACGTTTTACATCACATAAAAAGTACAAATACAACTATTATAACTTTTAGAAAGTAAATTTACTTTTTTATGCATAGGTAAGGTAGCTTATGTATAAAAATTAAAGTTTAGATTTTAGAAATGTATATACAGAGGAATTGAGTGGTTGTATATAAATCTTCCTTCTTTTTAACCGTAAGATAGATTTTCGTGATGAAAGTTTATCTTACCCTATCAAGCTAAGAATTAAGCTCCACCACTACTTTTGTATGTCATTAGTTTATGAATTATTTGTTCTTGGTGAATCCCCTTCAAGCTTCCTTTGTTTTTTCAAAACCTTGGAATTTGAAGAATTTTTTCTGTTTGTGCGCAGAACACAAATTAGGCTTTAATTCTTTTTCTGTAGGAAATAATAGCGTTTTTTTCTATATTTATACCTGCATTCTACATTATACTGCAGGAAGTCTTCATTATCGGATTGGATAGTCTCGGCTTTGACTTGAGAGTTTGCTCGGGAACACAAATTCAAACGTTAAGATTTGCCTTCAAAGCCCGGGTTTGTAGTAGTCTTTTTTTTTTAAATTGAATTTTAAATATTATTATGAGCATGATAATATTTTGTTATCGAATTATTGGGAGCATACTTTTCCTTTTGTTTTCTAGTTTAGCTTCCTAAAAACAAGATTTCTTTCATCAAAGAATATTGTGTAGAATGCACTGCATTGGTAGATGAGCTATGTGTACATAACGTTCAGTTTTAGGTTTGCGGCTGAACCGAAAAAAGAGGATAAATTATGTATATTCCAAATGTAGATGAGCTATTTGTACTTAAGGCTCAATTTCTACAGGGTAAAAATTTTAGTTTCTAATTATGGTTTCGTATGATCTAGAAATATTAAGCATAATTAAAGGCGAGTATGGTAAAAATGAGAACAGCATGCATACGTGGTAAAACTTATGTAGTTAAATTGATAAATTATGATGTTTAAGAGACAAAGGGGGTATCAACGATTGAAGAAAAGACAATGGAAAGTAGATTTAAGTGTTTTGGGCATGTATAACATAAGTAAAAAAGTGAACTAGTAATGGCTATATATAATTGATGCCAAAAGATAGTTGAATAGAAGTTGTGCAAAAATAGTTGCTCAAAATTGGTTGAATTCCTCGTGCAAAACTAGCAGGGACGGATGAAGAATCAGGATTTATATAACAAATACAAACAATTATGATATGGTCTTAAAAATTTAAGTACATACAATTCTATAGGGTTGTTCTAAATTCTTAAACATTAAAATAATTTTCCATGATGGTTTGCATGTGGTATTTGTATTTTAGTTTTTTTTTTTTGTTTTTCTAAAAAAATATTTGGCATGTTTATGACGCTTTGAGATTTTACAAACGCATATTGGATATAAATTAAGCACAAATGGCACAATTATTGCTAAATGGTATCCTACTCTTATTTAATTTGGCTCTTATTTCCCCTCGCCAGCTCAACTTAATATTTTGATTCTTGTCATCTTTTTAAGTTGATGCTTTACAATCTATTTTGCCTTAAGATCCAAGAATTATGACTGAGATAATGATAGAACTAATTGTACAATTAACTCTATTGTGCAAATAGTTTGAAAGCTATAGCATTTGTTAGAATCGGTTCAAAATCACCTAAATTGGAATTTGCCCAAGACAACCAAAGAATTAAACACATAACTTAAAAGGGAAACTTGCTTCACTACTGGAAAGATGAGGAAGTACAATAAGCTTAGAGCGGCTTGAAAAGATAACATTTTTATACGTTGCTTGATAGAGTTCCACACAAAAATTAGGGCAAAATAAGTTTTTTTCTTCAATAACACAAAACAACACACAACATAAAGGATAAACACCTATAATTTAAGAGGTAGGAAATCTCTTCCCAATCCTAACCGTAATCTCATATATAATCCTAACCCTAAATATATAAGCCCTATTTATATTAAGCAATAATGAATGACAAAAGACTAAATTGCTCTTAGGTGCATAAAAGACAAAGTTTCCCTTTGGCTGGGCATCAACATGATGATACTCCCCTCTCGAAAGACACGTTATCCTCAAGATGGGAAAAAGTGAGGTGTTTGACCTCCACATAGTTGTCTCTGTTTCTTCATCATTTGTCTCCTTGTCACATTCTATAAGAAACTGTAATGTTCGATCCTTGTAACGTATACTGGGGCAAACTTCTCATCGCACTGAAAACACAATTCCTTGGCTCGCTTCTCTTGCATTTCCGTTTCTGTAAAGGCTTGAGTGCCGCTCTCAGTCGTCACCCATGATTCTTGTCTTGTGAAGCCTTCCTCTAAATTTCAACTATTTGAACTTTTGGTATTATTGTGGTTGTAGTTTAGTATGATGCTCCACATGTGCTACTCATATTAGCCTATTCCAGTGTATTATGATCTTCAACCAACCGCGCTAATTCCACAGTTTCTCTCTAGCCCCGTGGTCTCAGCGGCCCGTGTTGCATGTATGTCATCTAAATTCTCCTCCAATATAGCTTCAGAAATTCCTCTTTGTTATCCCGATAAAAGTTCAACTCTCTCTATATTTTTTTTATTGTCCCTTTCTGAGTCAATGCAAAAAATTACTTGCGTAGGTCTTATTCTTGAATGGTTTGGAAATGTTCCGACAAGCAATCCTTAAATTTTTCCAACAAGCGGATTGGATATCTAGTTTCCCTTCACTAAAATTATGCTAGGGCTTGCCCCTCCAAACATAACTTTGTCGCCACGAGCTTCTCTTCCCCATTTAGCTTATTGACCGCAAAATTTCTCTCCACTCAGTACACCCACCCACGTGCGTCTTTCCCTTTGAAGATCGACATCTTCAACTTCCTAACCCTAGCGTCTTCACCCAAGCTTCCTCTATGCAGTTACCTCTATGCTTCAAGAGTAAAAATCCCTCCTTTGATCATTGTCATCCCCCATCCCTATTCCTCTCATTTTTTTCTTCGTGCTTCTTTGTACCCCCTTGCATAACCTCTTCTTTATATTTTGGCCCAATCGTTTCCATCGGAAATCTCTAATCCACCCCCAATCAGAGCCCTAGGAGATTGCTCTTGATGTGAAATGCTTTCCGCATGCTTCTCTTATTCGAACTCTTTTCCTTTCGATTCTCGGATCAATCTTTCGTTAGGGTTTTCAAACTGAACTATGGGCAGGGTCTTGGATTCCATCTCGATAAGTTTCCTCATCTTCTCAAGGTGCTCAAATCGACCCTCAATTCGGTTTTTTATGGATGAAAACCTATCGTATATAGATAAAAACTTTCCTTCTATGGCGGAGAACCTCTTCCTTCTGAATTTATTTGGCTCATCTATTCCTCCAATTTCTTATTCAAATCATCTACTTTTTTTAACTCCCAAATAATTTTTTTGATCATGAATGCGGAGCCTTATAATCTGAAATCTAATTTTTGCTTTGCAACTAGCTTAAATCACGACTGTAGGGTCTTGATCTTGTCTTTCCAGCTAGCTCTTATCTGGACTATATCAAGGCATGTTGTGATCTCGTGGTTGCTCCCAATTAGCTCTCACGCTATATTGCATGGATCCGTCGTTGCCTCTCTATACACTCTTTAGAGTAGGTCACGAAGGCGGTTCTTATGTGTCGCGATCCTGTCAGCCTTCCCTATGCCTCGCAATCTTACGTCGCGATCCAGTTGTTGCTTCCCCTAGATCGCAAGTTGAATTGCCACAGTCTCCTCCGACTCTCCAGTTAGGTCAAACGACCGATCCATTTGATTCTCAAGTCAACAATCTGATATCACTTGATACATTTTTGACGGATTTCCGCACAAAAATTATGACAATAAATTTATTTTTTTAATAACACAAAACAACACAACACATAAAGGATAAACATCTACAATTTGAGAGGTAGGCGATCTCTCCCAAATCCTACAATTAAAGAGGTAAGAAATCTGTCTCAAAACCTAATCCTAAAACTCACAACCATAATCTGATGCTTAACCTTAACCCTAAACATATTAGTCCTATTTATATTAAACAATAATAATAAATGACAAAAGACTTAATTATTCTTCGACGCACAAAAGACCAAATTTGGCTTTAGGCGGTGTAACACATTCAATCAACATGGGAAACACAACTAATGTTAATGTCAGAAGGAAAATCAATCATATATGTATTAAGTTTAAATTTCTTTTAGGACTTTGTATAGGTCTGAAAAATGTGTTCGTGACGGATTTAAAGAAGAAAACATTCCAGAGTACTTTTGTAAATGAGTACAATCACTTTGTGCTTCTGATTTTATCTTGCAATATGCTTTTAAGCATAAATTTGCTGCATATGGTTAGCAAAGAAAGCCATAGATCTTAGATATTTAATTTATAGAAAATAAGTCATTTATTTTTTAATTTTCTTGAAATTTATTTGAGTATCTTACTTTTCTGTTTAATTCTCAGGCAACATCAGAGTTTAGTGCTGAGAAACAGATCCATGATCTACTCTTTCCAAGGTTCCAACAACAGCAGCAGGAGTGGCAATCAGCTCAGACTAGAGACCACTGATACAGCAAGCTTCAGTCTTCATTAATGCCTTTTTAATGAATGGGATTATGGTTTGGCCTGCGCTTTGTTTTAATATTTTATTTAACATGAAAAATTGCAATATGTAAATATATGTTATTTATGTTTGGTTTGAGGAATCAAATGGCAATCTAATTCTTAGGAGAAATTTGCATGCATACCACATGATTCTTATGTATTTACACATCTACACCTAAGCTTAAAAATTAAGTTTTGAGCATTAGATATATAAATACATAAGAATTGTGTGATATGAGCAAATGCAATTCTTTCTCATGACATCTCTATTCATTTTTAATAAAAAAAGCAATACAAATTAATGAGTTAAAAAAATACATAAATAAATAGTTTCTCATCAATCAAAAGAAAAAGAAAATTTCTTTAGTATTATAGACTAGTTTCTCATTTAATATATATATATAATTTTAAGATGCAATGGGAAAGTTATAATACATATTTATTGGGATATTTACATTAACACAATTCTTCTATATTTACATTTTGGACCCAAAAACAATTTGATTTAAATAGTTTTTTTTTCTCTGCAATGTCATTAATGTGTCTAATGTTTTTATGTCCATGTCATTAAATATATAATTATTCATATATTGATGCATATCACATGATTAATATGTATTTACATATTAAATATCCAAAGTTTAAAATGTACTCAAATAACATTTTAGAGTCACAATTATTATTGAGCACCCAATTTTATGCATTTAGTATCTCACACTCAAATTTTGATTTTTACAAGCTAAACATTTTTTTGATGTTTTATAATTAAGTCGAGTGTTTAATAATTATACTCAAATGTTAGATATGTAAATATACGAATTGTACGGTATTTATGCTAATGCCTCTGTAATATGTTTGAAATATTAAAAGTTGTCTCGTTAATTGCCGTCTAAAACAACGAGAATTTTTTTTATGCATAATTTAGTTGAGCGCTAAGATTATGGATTATTTTGACATTTCTGTAAACTCTATAACCAAAATTACTTTATGTAAATAGTCATGGATTATTTCGACAAACTCGAGTGATATGTAAATATAAAAATTTTAGGAGTTAGATATGTAAATAGATGGGAATTGTGTGGTATATATGTACATGCCCCTAACCCCCAAAAATACCATGGGCAGAATCCTGTGGCAGTTTATTCATTCCAGTACACGGGATCCATGATGGAGCAAAAAAAAAATACATATCACTCATCTCCTATGTATTTACATATCTAATACCAATATATATATAAATACATAGGAAATGATAATACTTTTGATGCAATATTAAAGATTTGAGGGATATAAATATTAAAAAAATAATATCTACGTAAAAATATAAGAATTAGATGATAAGTAATAGCATTTTAAATTTTTTTAAGAGCAAAAATTTAAAATCACACATGAGCACATCTTATACCCAAGAAAAGGAGAAAAAAAAAACAGCTTGGAATATCAGGGCATCATGCCAATTTTTTATCTAAATAATATCAAAATTATTTAACTTTTTTTAAAATAACTGAAATAAACCTTTTAATTAATTTCGATATATTAATTAATTTACAAATAAATCTAACAATTTTAAAATTACAATATTTAATGAAAAACCAATATTTTGCCCCTCAATAAAATAAAAACCCCATTTTGGTGTTCCTGGACCCGCGACATCCTCCCCGTCCCAAATTCTCGACTGGCCAGAAACCACCCGCTGTTTTCTTCCTCTCCTCTCCCCAAACCGCGGCAACTCCGCCTACAGCTTCCATTGTTGACGGAACCAATAGAAAAGGAGCCACTGAAACCACAGAAATTTATCACATTTCCCTCCTCCTTATACCAGAAAGAAGATTTGATTATGCTCTAATCGAAGAAAGCAGGAATCTTTAACAGAATCCAGCGTTGAAAGCTCGGCTTAAAAATGGCATTTCAATACCAAAATCAAGCTCTCCCCCCTCCAAATCCTCTCTCTCATCCTCATCAGCAGCGAAATCTCTCGCCTTTCGCATCCCAGCAGCAACCCCACACCCATGGCGGAGTTAAAGGAAAGCAGCAGCAAACTCATAGCTCTGAAGATGAGCTCGGATTCGGAGAAGTCGCAACCGCCGCCGCCACCACAGCAGCCGCTACCGCCGCCGCCCAACGCGCCGCTCCCGCCGCCGCCGAACGTGTATCGCAGCCCCAGTCCCCATCTCCGTGGCAGAGAATGAAGTGGACTGACAGCATGGTTCGTCTCCTCGTATCCGTCGTCCATAGCGCCGGCGATGATATCGCCGGCGTCGAATGTTCCGATCAATACCAGAAGGGGAAAAAGTCGCCGTCTTCAACATCAATGCAGCTGAAGAAAGGGAAGTGGAAGTCCGTATCGAGGTCAATGATGGAGAAAGGATTCTACGTCTCGCCGCAACAGTGCGAGGATAAATTCAACGATCTGAACAAACGTTACAAGCGGGTTAATGAGCTCCTCGGAAAGGGAATGGGTTGTAAGGTTGTAGAAAACCCCGCCCTCCTCGACTCCATGGATCACCTCTCTCAAAAAGCGAGGGAAGAAGCCCGCAAGCTCCTCAGCTCAAAACACCTTTTTTTCCGTGAGATGTGCGCTTACCATAACAACTGTCCTTCAGCTTCCGCCGCTCTCCGGCCGGATCACTCTCCCTCTCTTTCTCCGGCGACTATCAAGATCCAAAAGAAGGGCGGCGGCGGCGGCGGCCTCTGCACGGTAGAGGAAGAAAGCCGACACCTTTGCCAAGAAGACGAGGAGGAGGAAGAAGAAGAAGATGACTACAACGAAGAGGAAAGCGAGGATGAGGATGATGGGAGCCTGGGGGTTAAGAGGAAGGCTGCGTTATCTCCGGCAGCGATGTCTCCATTGTCGTTATCACTGTGTTCGCCGTCGGGATCATCGTCGGCGCAGGGGGAACAGCAGCAGAGAGAGTGGGTGAGAATGAAGCTGGCGGAACTGGAAGAAAAGCGGGTTATTTATCAGAAGCAGGCGCTGCAGCTGGAGAAACAGAGATTTAAATGGTTGCGTTTTAGCAGCAATAAAGAGAGGGAAATGGAGAAGATGAGGTTGTGGAACGAGAGGCTTCGGCTGGAGAATGAGAGGATGTTATTGCTGTTACAGCAGAAGGAAATCAGGCTTTTTGAGTCTGCCGGAAAAGCAGGCGGCGAAGCTAACGGCGGCGAGATTGCTTCTTATCAGTTCCCGGCGGTGGATCGGAACCAAAACTAGTGGGTAGTGTAGATCTTATGGGTTGGTTTTTGATTTAACGGGATTTATTTTTCTCATTGTTAATAGAAAAGTTTTTGAACGGTGAATTAGACTGAAGTTTAATTGTGTTCATTTTGATATCTAATTTGAGTTATAATTAATTTGAGTTAATCAAATCCTTAATATTACCATCAATAATACCGGTATCACTAACATCTTAGAAATGAAATACATGTTATGCAACACAAGTTTATGATACCAAAGTGCAATGAACTTGAACATCAAACTTTAGGTTGAAGATATGTAAATACATAGAAACTGCATGGTATGTTTGTAAATTTCCCAATCACTTACACTGGCGGAGGAGGTAAATCCAGGAGGAGCCAAAAGCCAACACAATCATCTGAATCTAAACTGTGTTGAACAGCAAGAAAATGGAGGCCTCCGCAGGCTTTCTTAGCTGCTTCCCAAGCTTCGGCTTCTCTAGTGGTTACAGAAGTTTTGTTGTATGTAGCGTAGATATATCTGGTGGCTACACCAGCTGATAAGATCAGATAAGCTCTGCTGGTATCTACCTCCATTGAATCAACCTCCAAGCCATTCATCCAAGCTACAAAATACCAAAATCATCACATAGATCGGGCGGTGAATTTCACTCGATCTAGATCGGATCAAGCCAATCGAGATTGGCGCACAAAAGTAGATGTGACGATGTAAGTATACACATAAGACAGACTTGTATTTTTGGGGGATATGTACATGTCATATAGTTATGTATTTATGTATTTAATATTTAAACATTAATATTTTATTGTATGGATTCATATCTTTAAATTACATAAAAAAAATTACTAATAATACCTTTTTTTTTATTGGAAGATTTGCATACATGCCACACAATTCCTATGTATTTACATACTGTACCTATGCATGAAAGATGATTTTAGTTTTTAAAAGTTAAAAATAGTGACATTTTTTATATGATATGAAAGATTTGAGTGCTATAAATATAAAAATTAAATGTTTTAAATGTTTAAATACATAAGAGTTGTAGGGTATGCATGTAAATGCTCTTTTTTTTTGTGTGGTTGTGACACCAAAATGTCATTCAAGTAAATATCAAAGGATTATATACATATATATAATATCCCTCTACTTTTATTCATTTGTATATGCATGTGGATCACAATCTATGCATCAATATGTGTATTAGTTGGTTGTCTGTAAGTTGAGTTTGGAATTTGTTGATAAAAAATGAACAAATTGTTTAAGCTCAAATCACGAAGGGATCAAAGTAGCTTGGAGTAAAGCTTGACTAGACTCAAGATTTGAGCTAATTTTGAATGGAATTGAATTTGCTTATAGAATTGCTCACAATTATAATTGCAGACAAGTGAAGAGAGTAATTAACAAATGAAAGATTTTAATTCATGTCAATCTATTAACCCCAATGTGCAGTTATTAATTGCTTCATGAAGATCATGGCACCAATCAGAGCAATGAATCTAAAAAAAATAAAAAATACCTGCCAGTGGTTTTGCACGAGATGAAGCAACAGCAACACCAGGAACTAATGTCTTATCTTCAATGTCAAAGCCCATAAGATCCAAATCTAGAGTTGCCCCAAATGCTCTTCTTTTCTCTAACGATGAGATTTCTTCCCTCACAGCTGAAAATTTTGAAATTATTACTTCTCATTACATTTAAAATAGATGTCAAAGCTAACTAGTTTCTAAGACATGTTCAAAACCCAATTCCTCTGACACCAAACTTTTTCTTTTACATTTACATCACCCAAATCTTTCATATTGCAAAAAAAAAACACTACTATTTTAGCTTTTAAAAAGTGAAATACATCCTTTTATGCATAGATTAGGAGTTGGATATGTAAATACATAGGAATTAAGTGGTATGTATGTAAAATTTTCAAATAAAAAATGGTATATCAAAATTGGATTTTTATCAAAGCAATTAACCTATACTTAAAAAACTTAAGAAGGGCATTCAAAATTGGCTTGCAGGCAATTTGTCCTCGAAGATCTATATATCATGAAGTGCTTGCAAAATCTATAAGAGAATGAATCACAAACCATTAATAACATTGGATTGCTTCGAGGAAAATGGATACTTTCGCTTAATGGAGCTTCTATTGTCGTTTTTTGATAACTCAAATAGCATCAACAACTTTTGGATCATTTTGGAGTACCCTAAATAAGCATTGATTTGGTATATTCTAGTAAATAAGGGATAAAGCATCTCTTCCAAAATCCATGAATATGATTTATTTCTACACATTATATGAGGTATTTATCACTTTGGCTCAATCCATCCCATACAAATCGAGCCTCATGACTATAGCATTTTTTGTGGTACTTTGCAGAAGGCCAACCATCAATGAATGCTCCATCATCATAAGCCCATTTAACCGTGTTATTCTCTACAAAAGAAAATAAAATATAAACCTACAACACCAAAATGTACTTTTGATATTCAGCCTTGTATAGCCAATATCCTTTCTAAGTCTTCCGACATAGGGGTTTACTTCATGCCCGTCCTCATTTGCTCCTAGAAGCCTACCATCCAAGAAGGTTGCTAGAAATCATTCCCGTCATAGCCACTATTTTAGCTTTACCACAATAATCACTCCCCATCCTCTTCAAACCACCCCTTTGGATTTTGGATGCCTTAGGCCCACTAGCTTTTGCTCGGTTCATCTTTGAGCCAACACAGTACTAGAAGGTTATGCTTTAAAACAAATTGGAATTACCAAGCCTACACTATAAGAAGTATTGTCCATTTTTGTTTAGTTTGTCCCATACCAAGCTAACCAAACGGTTTTATTCACTTGGGTGTAGCTTCTTAGAATGTTACCCATCTTAGGAAAGCTCTATCACATTAATGCTTAATTATGAAGTTGCCAAGGAAATTTCACCTCTTACACAAAAAGGTGCCTCACCTATTCATTCTAACCCTTATACCTGAATCTTATTACTGTGTAGAAAATTCTCTTCTAAAGTTTATATGATCGATTATCTTAATACTGTTGTAAAAATTCTGGCTGCAAACAATTCTTAATTCCTTTTGATGCATTGTTGATATAAAACTTTATTTTCTATACAAGCAATAGATCGTTTGCATTGTCGAAGCACATATTTGGTTAGTTATATAAATTAAATTAATCATCATTCATAATTTAAAAGGTTAAATCATGTCGATGTAGCAAAGATAGAATGAAGGTTTGTAGAGTAAAAACATAAAAGAATCATGCTTTTGAAGTAAAATTCTGTCCAACAATTTATTTAGGGCTTCACGTAATTACTTTTATTTTTTGTTTTGTGTTCTAGTTTTTACTTTTATTTTAAAAACATGTCTGTTTAGTACATTTTTTGCATGTTATTCTTTTTTTTTTGTATTCAAAGATAAAATTAGCTTGTTTTTATATATACTCTCAAAGCAACTAGAAATAACTAAATATATTATAGCATAACAAATATGTTTTATAAAAACATATACAGAACAAAATCAAAATCAAAAGTGAATTCAAATGGTCCCTTAAGTTTTGGGATTCACCTGAATAAGGCAACTGGACAAAAGCCCATTTTTCGCCAAAAAGGTTTTCGGGAAGTTTCATGGGAAATGGATTGTCTAATGCAAGAAGAGGTTTCGATCCTTTTTGAAAGCCGGGATGACGAGTGTACATTGTCTCATAACGCTCTTGTAGCCATAGAAGCAATGAAATGCACTATTAAGTCATCAGAAGACGGCAATCAGCATAAAAGAAACTTGTAAATCATAATAAAGAAAAAAGTCACAATATGTACTAGAAAACACAATGTCTCGAAGCAACATGGCATATAACAAGACACGCATTATACTTATTAGGTAAATTTACATATGCAGCCCACATGTCTTATTAATTTACATATCTCACACCTAAACTTTCATATTTACACACATAGCAGTTTGGTGCTTTAAACTTATGCATGAAAATGCGCGTTCAACCTTTAAAAAGAATCGAGTGTTATTTGGGTAAATATGAAAGGTTATGTCTGAGATATGTAAATAAATAAGAATTGTGAGCTATGTATGTAAATGCCCCTACTTATTATGGAGTTTTGCAACAAATGAGTGGTAGATCACATTCTATCATGTTTGTTAGTGGTAACAAAAAAAATGCAGTCAATATAAGCTCACTTTATAAAGTTCAAGCATAATAATATTCTTCCATGTGCATCATTTAATATGTGTATCAAATAAAATAGAAGAAATAAAAATGGAAAATGATGAAGGAACATCCATCCTCTACTATAGACACGACTAACGGATGCTAATTAGTTCTGTTATTTCCTAGTGCTCACACGCAAGCATACCTTGAACCCATAACTTAAAAAAACTCAGACCGGTGTTGGAGATTCCATTTGATTGCACGTTAATTCTACCTTCATAAAGAAAATTCCAGAGCTCTTACACATAAGGCCTCAGGAGTTGACTTTGACCCTATAAACCAAATGTAGATTATTTGTTCTGATGATAACAGTCATATTGGGGGACTTTTTGTATAGGCATGCATTGAGCATGAACTATAAAAGACCTTCCAAGCATGCATGACTCAATTCGACTCTACAACCATGTTTGTAGTATGGAGATCAGGTTAATCAAGCTAGAATAATTAGCATTAAGCTTTTTATTTGGAATAATAAGTTCGATGGTTTTTGAAAAATAGTTAGAAATAAAGCTATAAATATAGTTTAAGTTTATATTAGGCTCCAGAATTTGCAGAAGGCACAAAGGAAAAAGTTGCACTTTCGAATATGACTTTGTTGTCATCAAATAAATTTAGCTGGTAATAATTAATATTACATAGTATAATCAATATTATTTTAAAAAGGTGCAAAAAAATTCCTTTCAAATACACTAAAATTATCAATTGAAATATAGTGCAGGGCATCTTATCCATGTTTAATCTAATATAAAACACAAAAGAAAAAAATTGTACGATCTTCAATAGCACATACAAAGTGGCTTTTTTAGGGGTCGCTTCTCTAGTTATTTTAAAGTGTGAAACAAATGTTCAACAAGCGTGATGCCTTTGTACCATTTCCTGCAAAACAAAATAAGATTACATTAAATAGTGCATTAAAAATAAAATTGTATTCAAATGAATTACGCAAATATTTTACACGTGCTTCCAATGTATCGCTAGCAAATGTATGCTGCATTGCATCAACTTGAGAGCTCTCTCCATTACAGATGCATGCGTATTAGGATCTTCACTTTCGATCACTACCTCACCTAACTCACGATGGTGTTGTATTTCAGTTTATGACATGTTAAAATATATATCATGACTATCATGCTGACCAATAAAATTATGTACGGTGACACAAACAATGACAATATCAGCAAGAACACTCAACGAAAATAATTACAAGAGAGTTAAAATTAAAATTTCTCTTTCCAATTAAGCAATGTCATTTTCACTATATTACATAATTGGGCATGATGATGATTGCATAGCTCTTACGTTACTGAGTATCCGTGAGATATTGTTCAAAGTTATTCAATTAAATGATACATGCAGTAACGATAAGCAGCTAATAATTTATTGATGTTTGCTTAATATGAATTAATAGGGTAATTTCATCCTTGTGACACGAAATGTGCTTTCCTCAGCAATGTCATTTTCACTATATTACATAATTGGGCATGATGATGATTGCATAGCTCTTACGTTACTGAGTATCCGTGAGATATTGTTCAAAGTTATTCAATTAAATGATACATGCAGTAACGATAAGCAGCTAATAATTTATTGATGGTTGCTTAATATGAATTAATAGGGTAATTTCATCCTTGTGACACGAAATGTGCTTTCCTCCACCGACCAACACAATACTCTCCATCAGTGATTGATCACTTGCAACTAGAAGCAACATAAATAAACTGACAGTCAAATGAGATGAAATTATCATATTTTGATAAGTAGACCCATTTTTATTTTTATATTGCGACTCTTAATTCATAACAATCAATACAAGTGTACCGTCAATAGTTCCAATTGCATTAACAAAGAAAGAAAAAAATTATGAGTTATCTCTAACGTAAAGGTGGCAACCGGATTCTACTGCCGGCAAATTGATGGACTTATTTGTTAAGGATATAATAGCTTGTAATAATATTGAAGTAATTACAACCAATTCCAGTAAATGCTAGAAGAAAACATATAATTATCTGTAAGAATGTGAATGTGTAATACCACTAAGAAATATCCCAAGTTTATATTTCTTGTGCCTTTGAACAGGCTATAACTTACCAGAATTTCACATAGCAATATAAAGATTTTTGCAGTAACATAAAATAATATTGAGGCGAATAATATTATCACAAGCCACTACTCATGCTTATAGATAATAACTCATTGAACCAAAAGAATCTATCTTAAGACCTATTTAATAGGGCATATAGATGACATCGGTACGTGTTGAATATTATAGCCGGTCATCTTTTATGCCCATATTATAAGTACAAAAACTAGGTAAAAATAGTTGAGTATTTATGCTTAAATATTATGTTATTGTATGATTTTTATGATAGTTTTGTTCAATGTTGTGTAGAAAATTTACAGGGTAACAAGTCAAAAAAATGTCAAAAGTATTGTGGTAAAGTATTGTTGCAGAGTTAATGTAGCAACATCGGGGTGCCACTGTAGCAGCACTGGGGCGACACTATACAGCGTTAGGGCTG